AATAGTTACAGTCACCTCTGAAGCTTTAAAAACACAAGCAAATGCTGGGCCCAGCCCAGTCTCACCAAAGTACCAAATTAGAATCTCTGGAAGATAAAGTCTGAAAGTTTGTCTGTTTAGAAAAAAAAAAAAAGGCTCACATGTGACTGTGTCCCATCACCAGGATTGAGAACCACATTCTCGATCAGACATTGCAGCTTCCTCCTATCTTGACCACATTAACGTGGTCTTATGTCTTGCGCCACTAGAAGGTCTGTAAACTCATCAAGGACAGATTTCCATCTGATGCTCATTGGTATGTTCTCTGCACCTGGCAAATGTCCTTCTGCACAGTATGTTCTAGAAACTAAAGAATCCGGAAAATGACTTTTGCTAACCTCATTAAGAAACCATGAACACCTCTGCAGCAGGCAGCAGCCCTGTGTATTTTCTCAGGCTCTTCCTCTTTGGATTCAATTAATCAAGATGAAAAATATTTGGGAAAAACATTGTGTCTGTACTCAGCAGGTGTAGACTTTTTTTCCCTGTCATTTTCCACTAAGCAATACAGTATTAGAACTATTTACATTTTTATTTGGTCTTAAAAATATTCTAGAGATGATTTAAAGTATATGAGAGACTGAGTGCAGGTTATATACAAATACTACATCATATCATATAAGGGACTTGCACAGCCTCAGATTTTTGGTATCCACAGGAAGGTGTTGAAACCAATCCCTCTTCAATAACAAGAGAAGACTATACTTACTCTTTGCACTTTTTTTTTTGACAGGCAGAGTTAGTGAGAGAGAGAGAGAGAGAGAGAAAGGTCTTCCTTCTTCCGTCAGTTCACCCCCCCCTCCCCAAGTGGCCACTACGGCTGGTGTGTTGCGGTCGGCGTGCTGCGCCAATCCGAAGCCAGGAGCCAGGTGCTTCCTCCCGGTCTCCCATGCGGGTGCAGGGCCCAAGCACTTGGTCCATCCTCCACTGCCCTCCCGGGCCACAGCAGAGAGCTGGACTGGAAGAGGAGCAACCGGGACAGAATCCGGCGCCCCAACCGGGACTAGAACCCATGGTGCTGGTGCCACAGGTGGAGGATTAGCCTAGTGAGCTGCGGCACCAGCCTGTACTAACTTTTTTTTTTAAAGGCAGAAAGAGAAATGGACAGAAACCTCTGTCTATTGGTTCACTCCCCAGATGCTCACAGCAGCCAAAGCTGGGCCAGGCCAAAGCCTGCAGGAAGCCAATGTGGGTCTCCCTTGTGGGTGGCAAGTACCACTGATCTGCACTTTACAGGCTGTGCATTAGCAAGAAGCTGGAACCAGGAGTGGGACTGGGACTCGAACCCCAGTATTCCAATACAGGATGCAGATATCCTAGCAGGGTCTTAACCTCTCAACTAAATCCTGCCCTGTGCTAGGGTTTTGATCTGGATATCCTAACCTGGAAAGTAAGCAGGTCACTTCAGTTCCTTGCATATCACAGGTGCGTGGTCGTTAAGTGCCAGAGCTAAGATTTGAAATGTAGCTCCTGTTAACAACACTCTCTTCTTTTTTTTTTTTTTTTTTGACAGGCAGAGTGGACAGTGTGAGAGAGAGACAGAGAGAAAGGTCTTCCTTTTGCCGTTGGTTCACCCTCCAATGGCCACCGCGGCCAGCGTGCTGCAGCTGGCGCACCGCGCTGATCCGATGGCAGGAGCCAGGAGCCAGGTGCTTTTCCTGGTCTCCCATGGGGTGCAGGGCCCAAGCACCTGGGCCATCCTCCACTGCATTCCCTGGCCACAGCAGAGAGCTGGCCTGGAAGAAGGGCAACCGGGACAGAATCCGGCGCCCCGACCGGGACTAGAACCCGGTGTGCCGGCGCCGCTAGGCGGAGGATTAGCCTAGTGAGCCCCGGCGCCGGCCCAACACTCTCTTCTTTCTATCTCAGACCTCGAAATCAACTTCTCAGGGAAAATTCTATCTATGTGTATGTGGGTATGTGACATGCTGCCAGGTCTGTTTCTAAAACTGGAACATATCCTATCACCTGGTGGAAAACTCTCTCTGTTGGCATTATGAAATGAATTTGAAAATAAAATGTTTAAGCCTAAAAATTAATTGTGAAACCTAATGGATATCCTTTTCTTCTCTTCAGTTCCTCCTCCCTCACCCCAGACTTGTGTACAAACACACCCTCTGACTGTTGTTTGACAGTCTTGACAACTATTTAGTTCCTACACTGATAATTCTCTGAGTTTTCCCCCCTTCTAGTTCATGATGTTTCTCAAAGATTTTTTAAAATAACCTGCGTTTCTGATTGTAAATGCAATTTTTAAAATGTTCACATACAGTTTGCTGAAGGTGATAAACTGGCATCTGCTATATGCTTCTACTGTTTCTTTCAATGTGAATGCACATACAATGCATACAGGCACAGCGAAGTTGAAATGACTCTCCAACAAGGCCTGGAAACTGGGAGAGCAGGCTCTGTTTGCCATTTCCAAGCTAAATGACTTTGGACAGGGAATGAGCTTTCTAGAATTTCCTCCTCTAAAAAAGAAAGGAAGGGGCAGGCACTTGGCACCAGTGTTCAGGAAACCTGCATCCCATCTTGGCGTGCCGGGGTTCTAGTTCAGGCTCGGCTCCCAATTCCAGCTTCCTGCTAACACAGACCCTGGGAGGCAGAAGGTGATGGCTCAAGTGGTTGGATCTCTGCTGCCCATGTGGGACACCCAGAGGGAGTTCTTGGCTCCTGGCTTCAACTTAGGCAAACTCCATCTGATGCATACATTTGAGGAGCAAACCAGCAGATGGAAGATCTCTGTGTGTGTGTCACTCTCTGCCCCCTTCCCATGCCTTTCAAATAAATTAAATAATTTTACATTTTTAAGCATACAATTCAGTTGTTTAAAAAAAGATGAAAGAAAAAGGGTCTAATTTTCTTCCAAATAGGAAATGTTATGGTTCTTTTATAACAGCAAGTCATTTATTAGACCTCAGGTCAACACTGAATTACAATGTGGTCCTTATCTGTCCTGGTTGATGTGTTGAAGGCAGAGACATTATAACACAATCCATGAAATTAGTTGCAGCTTATCAGGTGCTCACACCTCTGGGACTTACTTTGATTTTCCTAACATGTTACTGCCAAATAGTCACTATTATCCCCATTTCACAGAAAAGGAAACTGATACACAGAGAGGCTAAGAGACTTAGCCTGGGTAACAGACTCAGGAAATTGCAAATCGGGACCCTCCCGGATCCTACTTGGACCCCTTGGCACACCACGATGGCCACAGGCAGAGGCCAGATTGGGGGCTGGGTGGATTTGCCACGCTAGCATCTCCCTGGGTTGCCTGTCTGCCTCCCCTAAACGTTTCCCTGTCCAGATGCCTTTAAATGGATCTGGAGTAGAAACCCAAGTGAGGATTTATTCAGCCTATCCTTCCCACGTATGTGATTTCCTGAGCATGTATAGGTCTGTGTTCTTCCAAGAAGCTGCTTTTTCCTGAGAAAACAAGACAGATAATGATAAATGAGCATCTACGTGAGTCTAGCTGCGAGGAGGACCAGGGAGTGCTAACGCCCATCCTGTGAAGTTCATCCTGTTTCTTTTAGCGATTTCTTTATTAGTTAATGAGGTCTCGTGAAAATGTGTGTCTGTGATGGTGTTTGAGCATCCTTGCCTCTAGGAACATTCTCAAATATTCATGAAGCAGCTCATCTGACCAAAGCTTAAAGCGAAGGTGCATTAAGTATGAATTTACTCAACTTCAAATGTGGGTGGTCGCAAAGCTTCAGCTGAAATAACCTCAGTAATCCTTCTCACTGGTGCTTCCAGACCCGCAGCTCTGGGCACACAGGTGCAGGGTGACGGGAAAGACATATTATTTAGAACAACTCGGACTCCAAAGGGCAGCCCCCTAAGCTTTGATCCTGCCTCCTGACTGACAGGCGTGTGGCTCGCTTTTGGAAAATGGAATAACTTAAGAGAAACAAAAATAAAATGGAAGAGGAGACAGCAGCTGAGCCTCTGGGAAGGAGAACAGACCCCCGCTCAGGTTATTTCTGGAATGTGAGAGGCCTGCTTCCTCCTTTGGGTCCTTATGGCCTACAGGGAAAAGTCCAGTCTTGGTAGCTGGTTGGTCACTCAGTGATGCATTTGGAGAGGCGAGGCGAAGCAAAGGTGGAAACTCCATTTGGCTGTTAAGCTGCGCCCCACGGTGCAACAAAACACAGCTATCACTTCTGTGGCATGGTTCTAGAGGGTCCCATGCACCATCGCAAGAATACGGATAGAATTCACACAGCAACCTCCAGGTACTCCCTAAATCCATCACCCCAAGGCAGAACCAAGCAAAGCCTCCGTAATTTTCACCTTTTTTATCATTGTTTTTATCTGGCTTTTCATTTCCTCTAAATGTTGGGGGTGGGGTGAGGAAGATGTCTTAACGCCGCGGCTCACTAGGCTAATCCTCCGCCTTGCGGCGCCGGCACACTGGGTTCTAGTCCGGGTCGGGGCACCAGATTCTGTCCCGGTTGCCCCTCTTCCAGGTCAGCTCTCTGCTGTGGCCCAGGAGTGCAGTGGAGGATGGCCCAAGTGCTTGGGCCCTGCACCCCATGGGAGACCAGGAAAAGCACCTGGCTCCTGGCTCCTGCCATCGGATCAGCGCGGTGTGCCGGCCGCAGCGCGCCGGCCGCGGCGGCCATTGGAGGATGAACCAACAGCAAAGGAAGACCTTTCTCTCTGTCTCTCTCTCTCACTGTCCACTCTGCCTGTCAAAAAAAAAAAAAAAATTCAGTGTCAGCCGCGCAGTCCTGCTGCCTCGAGAGATGCTCAGAGGGTAACATCATCTCTTGTCTCTGTCTCTCCACGAGGACACCGAGGGCACCCTGACAGCCATGGCGACCAGAGGCGATACAAGCTTGTTTCCACTGTTCCAGATGTAGTTGTGCATATCTCAGAAAAAAAAAAAAAAGCATACTGTTCCATTCGGGATGCAAATTTGACCCGTGTCCTATACTTAATTTCTCTTCCAGGTGATTCACGTAACAGGACGGCTCCGCCTGAGAGTGTCGCTGTCCCACGGGAGGACGGTCCCCAGCCAGATCATGGGTCTCGTGGTTGTGGCTCACGCCCTGCCCCCCCCAACGATCAATGAAGTCAGAATTGACTGCCATATGTTCGTCACTCGAGTAAATATGGACCTCAATATCATTTACTGTGAAAATAGGTACTTCGTTTTCCTTTTCGTTTGCCCTGTTGCACGGTGAGCTCTGGTGAGGGTTAGTGTGTTCGGCAGTCTGAAGGATGTTAATCACCCAGTGAGGTTCATTAGAAATCCTGGTCTTGGTTTGAATAGCTGCTTGGACAGACACCAACCATGCTTTTTATGTGAAATGTACGTTGCTGTCCTGATTTGCATTAAGGACAACAATGGAGTGAATTGAGACACCCAGACATCCTTCTGCTGCTACCAAGAAGGTCTCCCTTGGCTGAGAACTCAAGGAGAGGTCAGGGCTGGGAGGTTGTGGGCAAAAGGATGCAGTAGAAGAAATCTCCCAGGGCCCATTTCCAGCTCACTCAAGGGCCCTCCCTCGTCATGAGCAGAGTCCACACAGACACGGAGTACAGCGGCAACCAATGAGAAGGCAAGGTCCCCGAGACAAAAGAAATCGGAAAAACTATTACAAACCATCTTGCCGTCCTGAGGGTTGCACTGTTATAACTGAAGAAAAGCTGACTCACCATATCAATGAGTTGGCAGTTCTTCCTCAATACTGAACTTTTACAAAAGTACATTTTTAACCTCTGGTTGCAAAGTTCACTTTTTCCATTAAGCACAAAGCAAGGGACAAGGAAATGGGACCATGGCCGTCAGGCACTTCATAGAGAAGTCACCAGCCCAGCAGCAGACTGATTCTGAAGACAGGATTATGGGGTACAGGGAGAGCAGTGGAGACGAGGTACCAAATATTAGCCACAGAAGGAAGCTCTCGCAATGTCATCCACCATAGGGTGCCGCAGAGGGGGATGTACTGAGCCACTGGGGAGTAAGAATTTGTGGCAAAGATTCTTGACAGGCTTGAAGGCCATATATGTTCACTGAGCCCTGTGGGTACCTTCGGAGGGGAAATGAAAAAGCAAAATGGTCAAGTGGCTTGGGCAATTGATCTCTCCCAGAGCCTACCAAGAGGAAAACAGACAGTCCTGTCTGTAGTCTGTCAGGTAGCACTACAGATGTTCTGATCAAGTTAGAAACTGCCTACCATTTCTGGCCAGGATCTGACTCTGAGCCAAGACTGCACCAGCAGGCAAAGACACCCATTTGGGCCACGAGTCTTCAGTGAGGTAGAAGCTATCACAAACCTACCACTCTCAGTTGGTCACTAACTCCCAATCTGCTTTTCACGTCTTATGGTCACTTACTACCTGTTTTATCATCATGACGACACACCTGAGTGTGACTAAGGTATTCTGGATTGACCACAGGGTATCGGGAGGGATGAGTTTGCCAAAATAGTTAGCTGGAGTTGCCAAGTAACAACCAAGAGAGCTGATATTTACTGAACACTTAACTATACATTGAAGCACCTGCACCATCTCGTTTAGACTTAACTGTGGCCACACTTGCCAAAAAAGGGGCTTTAGCCTATCTACCTAACTTCTAATGATTGCCTGAGCCCAAATGTCTCCTAATTTTCATTCCTGTGATCAGCTGATTAAATCCTCTGACAAGCTCTGCGGGCCCAAGTGCCTCGTGGTACCACTCTAGAAACTGAGATCATTTTCTGTGACCTGCTTTTAGCATTTTTCTGCCCATTAGCAAAAATGCTTGCCACCACCCACTATTATTCCATACAATCCAGCGTGATTTCCCAACTGGCAGTGATGGTAATTCTGAAAAAGACCTGTACTCAGGTAATTGCATATTTGATAAGAGGAGTAGGCCTATCAGGTTCCAGGCATTATTTTCTCTTAATTTGAACCCCTACACCATCCACGTGGGTAGTTCTACAGATGCGGAATCAGACCCAGCGTGAAAGATGGCATTCTGACCTTGATGAAGGTTATCTTTGGGTTCTGACACTTATGTTAAGAGGTCCTTGAACACTGGGCTGGTCCTGCTCCCCATAGTAACAGACTCTGGTACCTAGAAGAGTTCAGTCATTTTGAAAGATTTAATTCAAATAAAGGAAAAAGACATCGCTCCCCTTAAAAAAAAAAGAGTGGCTTTTATTATGGAGTTTATTATTTAATTAGGGAATTGTTAACTCGCAACTCAGGCTCCCTCCTTGATTCTGCAGAGTATTCTTCTCTGCTTTCCCTCCGACGGCCTCGGGCAAAGCCAGCATCTGATGCTTTCAGAGGCGCTGGCACATTCCAGAAACACCAAAGAGGGCCTTTTAAAAATACCCTCGTTCCCTCATTTGCAGAGAGGGGGTGGGAACTGTGCTGGAAAACAAAGAATGGTTTTAGGAAAACACTGATCTGCTTTGTACCAGAAAACCGTGGACTGCTTAGAAAATGTGCCTTTTGATTTCCCCAATTAATCATATCTTACTACGAACTCCAGTGTGGCCAAAGATATTATTGACATTTCTAGACATTAAGAAGTTCCCTCCCTGAGTAGGCTGCTTAGTGATGTTCACCAGTAGTTTGTTCTTCTTGCCCTGCTTTGGGGGGCCGGACTCCACTCTCCCACAGTAATCTCTTCCATTTTTTCAACGTGTCATTTCTCAAGGCACATATGTGACTACAGCATCTGTCGTACATCATAAAGAAACATGGGAACACGGGCAAGTAGGCACCTGGTCCAGTGGGTCCCAAGCCAGCTGAGATGCCAGAGTACCTGGGGGCTGTGTGTGCTTCCAGCTCCTGATCCCGGCCTCCTGCTAATGCAGCCCCTGGGAGGCAGCAGGGATGGCTCCAGTGGCTGCATCCCTGCCTGGGTTGAGTTCTTGGTGCCTAGCTATGGCCTCTGCCCAGCCCCAGCCATTACAAGCACTGGGGGAGTGAACCAGCAGATGGGAGCAGGGGCTCACTTATTCTCTTTCTCTCTCTCTGCCTCTCAAATAAACTGTTAAAAACACAGGAATAACTAGGAGAGTAAATTAAACAAAAAATACATATATTCTGTTGTGAACTGACCACAAGGAAGCTGGACCTGGTGAGACAGAGGGTCATGAGCATTTTGACATGTTTGTGGAAACCCAAACGAATCCCCCCAGCTTGCTTTCCAATTTGAGTCCTATTTTTCTGTGCTCTACCTGAGGACATTGACATCTGGGCAATCAATGACAGAGGCTTATACACACACACACACACACACACACACGCCTGGAAGAGCTGCTGAAATGGTTTACAAGTTTCTGTGCAGAATCCGCCACAAAGTACCAGTTAAAAGAGCCAGGAGCTCCCAGATGACTAAGACTAAAAAAGATAATAACCCCAGGCATCTGTATGTCTCAGCATTTAAATTATATCCCTTGAAATGCCAATTTGGACTTTGTGCCAAGAAGCAGTCGAAGCCCTTTTTCATGGAAATACCCCATAGAAGAGCAATCTGTTTAAATGAAAGGTGTCTCTAATCATTTGGTATAAACATAACATGTTTTTATTTTATTATGTAACCTTGAATTATCTTGGCCTGTAATGAGGATCTCGCATTGTTCCTGATTCTCATAATTTCATGGAATTATGTTGTCTAAACGTACATTCTAGTGCCAGAAAAGAAAAAAGAAAAGAAAAAAACCTATCTAATTATTTAACTACGATTGCTTGATCTAGCCCACTGCCTACTTTTTGAAAAAGTCTGTTCCACACTAAAGAAATAATCTTAGCTATGAAAGGGTTTGCCCTCAAAGTGCCGGGTCCCCACAGGTATCCGGGTGGGATGAAGATGTGTCAGTGGCTCTGGTCTGTTCCTAAGGCATTTGACACTTTCCTCGTGTGCCCCCTGTCTGAATGGCAGCCTGTGTTCTTGTCTCGCTAGGATTAGTGATTACATGGATCTGACCCCCGTGGACATCGTAGGCAAGAGATGCTACCACTTCATCCATGCCGAAGATGTGGAGGGCATACGGCACAGCCATTTGGACCGTAAGTACCTCCTGCGAGGCGGAGGGGGTCTCTCTCTCTTGCTTCTTTGGTTGCAGTACTGATTTTTCCCTTCATTCCTCCTGTGTACATCTGCAAGAACTGTCGGCATGCGGTGAGAAGAAGTGGACATAAATCACTTCCACTTGTGTTAGGATTAGATTGCGAGTTGGACCTCAGGCCCAGAGAAATTGCCGGCTCTCTAGGCACTCACCCAGAATTCCGTGGTCTCTTGGGCTCACTCTCTCTCTCTCTCTCTCTCTCTCTCTCTCTCTCTCTCTCTCTCTATCTTTCTCTCTTGCACAAAGTGGTGGGGCACCTCTGTCTTAAGTGCTTCCTTGACCCTTTCATTTTCTAGAGAGCAGCTTCCTCTCGGAAATTTGTAGCCTCAGTTTCAAAATATACATGGGAGAAGACAAGTTCAAAGAGGCCAGAGCTTCATAAAAATGTCTGCTTGTCTGGCCACAAAACTGGGGCAAGGCGGAAGCCTGGGAGGCAGGGCTAAAGCAATGCCACATGGACCCAACAGCTCTCAAAGGCAGTGTCTGACCCTGTTGTTCCGGAAAGAGGGTGAGTCAGGGGAGCGGGTACCTCTGTCTCCCAGTTTGAAGCACAGGGAACCTAATGGCAGCTCTCTCAGTCCAGCACCCAGATCCTGACCCGCAAGTTGAACTCTAGGTGACCAATCGTGGCACATGAGCACAGCAAGACCAGCTGTTTGCTGGAGTCCAGGAGTCACATGCCAGCATCACCGCGTGGTGTTCCCTCGCCGGGTGGCCCGGAGGTTATCTACACCGTACACAGAAAGAATCTGTCAAGAGCACTGATGTAGTGAACTACCTAGGAAGCAGGTGGCGTCTTCCCACCGGAAGTCCTCGTTATGACCATTCCATAGACTTTTCCTGCAAGATGAGGGCTCTGCCAGCTATATTTCTAGAAGGTTCTAAGCCCAGTTCTGAATTTGCATTTTTAAATACATGTGCAGTGCCACAGATGACATGGTACAGCTTGGTGCTAAACCATTTAGGTAACTATCTAGCCGGGTGGCTCTGCAATTTCCTCCTTCCCACTTCCCGTCAGGACAGAGGAGAGCTAGTTCCCATCTCTCCTGCCCTTTGCAATTGTTTCCTTATTTCAAACTCAGATCTTCAAAGGCATAAAGGAGACACTGAGCAAGCAGGCATCCCCAAGGGGTAGCATCTCCTCCTGCTGTGTTTTTAGCCCAGCATTAGCGACACTGACGTGGGACCAAGTTCAATGTCAAATTCTGTATGTACCACACCTCTGCACGCTGCTCTCCAGTGGATTCTGTTCCCAGCACTGAGCACGTGCCTTCATATTGCTCACCAGGGATTTGGGGAACACACTTGTTGCTAAGATTGAATGGGTGTCGTGTATCGCAGAAGCAGATGGCTTTTCAATTAATTGGGAGAAAAAAATGATGCTGTTCCCTGAAAAGAAACATCAGGTTCTTTGTTGCCGGGAATTCAGAGAAAATGGGGGGTGGGGGTGGGGATCAGGTCCCTTGAAGTAGGCCATGGCTATATATACTTTAGAACAGTATAGGCCAGAGATCAAGGCTTTAAAAAGGAAAAGGTGGTTTTTAGGTCAGTGTCACAGACCATGTATGTGGGGACAAAGTGGTGTTCTCTCAGTTTGAATTCTTAATTAAGATCTAAATTCAGACTCCTAACACTGACAAAAACAAAATCAAAAACACCTTTGTCACCCTCCGTTATTCTGAGTGTTCGGAAAACATCACACTGTCTCTCCAGGATTTGATTTACAGCTTGAAGAAATATAATTCCTCAGGAACAGTGAGTGAGCTGGGGCACTTCCATTTCCTCCCAGAAAGCAAAGGTCTCTAACTAATACGCTTGATACCACTCTGTCGGTCCACTGTTCTATCATTGCCAGTAGCCTGCATAATTTGAGAGTGCTGAAAATAAACCACTCCACCATTCACCATTGTGTTATTCTCCTAATTCTCCTGGTATCTTGCCAACTAATAAACAGAGGAGGCATACTTTCAAAAGCTGTGATTTTTTTTTTCATTACCTGGTATTGACATACTGGCTCTTGCTTTATGACTTAACCCACTAACAATGATTGAGTTCACTCTTTTAACTCATACACATGACTTCTAATTTGGAGTCCTTTTAATAACCTTAAACACATGAAAAACAAATAGAACGAGCTGATAATTCTGCACAGTAAAATACACTTCACATATTTAGCTGTCATGCTGTGGAATAACTCCACAAAGTCAAGTAGCACACAATTAGTAAAACTGTAGGGGGAGGAAAAGGAGTGTTTTGATCCTGAAGAATTTTGATCCTAATCAGATTGAAATTTCAACATTCTTGTAGTGCTTAATATCTTCAGTCACACACACACACACACACACACGTGCACACACACACACACAAAATCAAACTAATTCCAATGTCAGGTTTCACATTCTGCGACTGAAATAAAATGTTAAAATATACAAATGCATCTCGCTTTGTACAATAAACACTAACATCATTATAAAGTAAGATTGAGTCTAAAATTGTGTGATGGAATGTCTGATGTTTACCTAATTCTCAAACCAAAGCCAGCCCGGTAACAAAATGACAGAGCATGTAATAAGGCTTGGTTGTGTAAACACTGGGAGAAAAGGCAAAACGCCAGCACAGCATCTTGCTTCTCCAAAGCCCTAGGCTATTACTGAAGGAGGCCTCAACTGTGCTGTCTTGGCAGGGGAAGGTCATGGTGACATAGAATCAGTTCAAGAATAAGATAGAATTCTAAAACAAAGGGATGGTTAAAAAATAAACCCCATTAACTATTTAGCTTTTCTTCCTAGAGCTGTTGGCACAATTCCTGGTTCTGCTCATGTAAGACAGGTTTAAGCCATCTCATAGTATTTCTGAGATTTTGTGTATCTATCTGATGTTCCTATTTATGTATACAGCTTTTTTAAAAAAAATGCTATCGCTCTTAATAACTAAAAATGCTGTCGTTATCACTTGTGTTTTTTTTTCCTCACATAGGTATCTGTAAATCCATAAAAATGAACCTGTGTCTAGAATAGGATAAGTAAAGGGAGATTCTTAGCTGTACCAGCGTTTGACAATTCTGATCAAGCAGACCAGGAATTTTGGACCACCCCTCTCCCACTAGGTTAATTCAAGATGCCTCATAGTTCACTGGATTTCTCTAAAGACAGGATCACATCGTCAATGCCAACATGGTAGGTTAGTGAAAGGCTGGGATTCTCAAAGAAAGACTCCCAAGGGAGCATCAGGGTCCCATGCTTCACTCAGTGACCAGATACTTCTGCGATTTTTTTCTTAAGGCTAATTGCATTGATTGCTCAGGTCAGATTGACTAAATACACCTTTCAAGGTCAACATTTCAAACCACTCATATGATGACTTATTTGGGTGTCTTTAGCTCTCCATCCCCCTCTCGTTCTCCATCGCTCAGGAGGGGCTGACCTCCAGGTGATCAGCCAGGTCTTCCCAGGGTCCTCCTCTCCAGTCACCCAAAATGTCTATGTCCCTCTCGAATTGAGAGGGCTTTCGGTGCAACCGTCTGCCACGCTACCTCCACCTCTGCCTATATCCTGGAGAGCAGAGTGCTGAGCCAAGGCAAACACCTGCTGTGCATTTCTCTTTATTCCTGTTCAGTCCAGCTTTTTGTCTGTAGATGGAACTGAATTTGTCCTGAGACACTCCTAGGGTCCTTCCTGGGTCAAATTAGCAACAAGTCTGTAAAATCTTCAAGAGTGGCCTGTGGGAACACTTCCTTTCTCCTCACCAGCCAGGCTCAAGGCTGTGGACCCGTGGGATTTCAGATGGCTTAGATGTGGTGGCAGTTTCCTACCTAGCACCTTTCCCAGTAAGAGGAAACTCTGGAAGAATCATTCCAGAAAAAGGGAAGGACTTCCAGAGTGTCTGAGCCCACATGGAATTAAAAAGTGTAGCCTACACGATATATGTGGGGAGTGGGTATTGAAAAAAAATACAGTAGCCCAAGTGTTTATTTCCTAATTACCAACTTCTATACTTCTTAACAGAACTAATATACAGCTACCTGGCATAATGCATTCCATGCTGTTTTGCATCAATAACCCCTCCACTTCCCTCCTGAAGGCGTCTCATCGCCAAATGCAAGCAGACTGCTTAATGCAGGACTAATTAGTATATCCCCTTCCAGTCTGCGGGCCCTCCATTGTAATTCCTTCCCAGCTCATTTTTTTCCACAACCGAGCATCAATCAAAGTAAGTGCCCTGCCTGCCTAGGCAACACAAGATGTCCTCCATGCATTTGTCATCTGCCACACAAACAAAGGGGGAATTTAATTGTTGATTTGGGTTTGCAGCCCCTGAACGCAGTAAGAGAAGCTGCAAGAGAGGGAAGAAGGGCAGGCGTGAAGGTTGATGGGTGGACCACAGGCAGGTAACAGGGGCACTTTTTTATTCCTGATCTTAGCCTTCCTCAGAGCGGGGCATCTCGGGATTTAGCTGCAACCTGCTCATTGCTGCACTTCTTTTCCCCCAAAGCAAATGAGTTGTTACCAGTTCTTCCGTGTGAATAGGAAAATGCACGTGGAAGGACTTGCGTGTCCTAGCCACCGCGTCTGACTTTGTTCAGAAGCCAACACAGCTTGCATCGCGTGCCTGTCCATTAACTGAAAAGACTGTCACGGGGAATTGAGATAAGGCCAGGGTTTTATGCGGGAGTAAATCAGTATTATTATTTTGGGTCTTTTTTGTTTTGTTTTGTTTTTTGGCCTTTCCATGGGCAGGCAAACCCAGAGAACAGAGGGCCTACCCACCACCTGAGTGTCTCTGCAGGTCTGCTACCCAGCACAGTCTGAAACAGCAGCCTGGCCACCCCCTGGGAGCTAAATGCAGACTTTCAGGCCTACCTCAAACTACTGAATCCGAATCTGCAGTTAACAAGATCCCCAGCCGACTCAGTATTCACGTTAAGGCTGCAGAAGTACTGGC